TATAATCTTATTATTTTCTCTCAAAAAGAATGGTAGGTTGGTTATGTTTTCTTACTGTGTTGCAAAACTCATGGCATATATTTTGTTGCCCTGGCGTTTCATGCCAGATTATGTCGAGGAAGGAACTGAGGCTGAAATTGGAGCTGCTGCTAATATCGAACTTTGGCTAACTTAGAGTCAAGATTTTATCGAAATAAAATCCTGTTATTTCTTGCGTTAGTCTTTAACTATGTTGTGACATTGTGTGTGAACTTGTAGTTTTATTTTGTTGTTGGACTTTGACTATGTAAAAATTTAAAAGTTCCTAATTAGTAGTTAAAATTTTATCTAGCAATTTATTGTTATTTAAATCTTATGACGTTTCAAAAAAAGAAATTTGTGGCGTCACAGTTTGGTATCAAAGCCTAGGTTTGAACTTTGGGCCATGGGTAGTAATTTATTATTTTTACATTTAAGAAAACCTTACGTTAATTTGTAATTTTCGGTGACTTGACTAAGTTAGAACCCTTTTATTTGTAGGATGCCAGGGTCATCAGACATTAACTCTAACGAGAAAAATTTGATGGAAAACTATGATATAGAATCTGACCCAAGTGAAGAAGTGAAGATGCCTATAGAAGACTATAAATCCATAGAATCTGACCCAAGTGAAGAAGTGGAGATGCCTATAGAAGACTATGAATCCATAGAATCTGACCCAAGTGAAGAAGTAGAGATGCCTATAGAAGACTATGAATCTGAGCCTGAGCTTGACCCTGAACCTGATCCTGAACTTGAGCCTGAACCTAAGTCTGAAGAAGTTGTACCAATATACAACCCCCTAGAGGTGATTGTGATTGTGATTGAGTCAGACACAGAAGATGAGTCTATAGAAGTCAATACCGAGGAGAGCACTGGAGATGTAGGAGCCACGTTTGAGGGTTGGGATGTGCGAAACGGGTTGCAGATTGGCTCTTTTGTATATGTCAGACTTATCCCCTAGGAGGTTGTGCTTGGAAAACTGAGAGTTGGGTGGGTACGTATATCGGACCTGTCCAGATTCTAAGACAAAAGACTCCCTGGGTATATCAATTAGGCCCCTTCCCGGATGGTTTCACCGATAGGGTGGGCGACCTTTTTGACTTTTGGAGCCTTCAATGTATCATGCCCGACCCAAGAAGAATTGTGAGGAGAGATGGGTCAGTGGACTTCAGGGACTGGAGGACCTATCGGGAGGAGCCGGTGCTGTTGCTAGGGCATCGTGTGTGCGAAACTGCTATCTTCGTGAGGGTGCTGTGGCGATTCATGGGGCTTTTCCAAGCCACATGGGAGCCGGAAGCCCTTGTGTGGAGAGACTTTCCTTGGTTATTTTAAGAGGTCTTAAGGGAATTATAAACTAGGCTAACCAATTGTTTTGTATGCTCACGTGTAAAATTGCCTAGTTTAGAATTGTGAGTGTAGGAGTTAACTTGGATTGTAGGGGCTATCTTTTGCCTGTAGTATGTTATTTAATCTTTTCCTTTGTTTTATTTGTATTTTGCTAATTGTAGCTTATCTAATCTAATTAATGAAGTTTTCTTTTTTTTAACTATCCTTGTACATAAATATAATAATAATAATAATAATAATGATAAATAAATGAACAAATCACGAATTACTAAAAAAAAAAAAAAATCCCATCATGCAGAATGGCTAGATGAACAAGAAATAATAACAACAGTAATGGTGATGGAGTGTCTGATGGCAATGTCGCTCGAATTATACACGCGATTGCTGATAGGGTAGGCAATATACCACCTCGAAACCAAGATTAAAACAAATCGGAAATGATAACAAAATTTGAAAAGCTACATCCCCACAAATTCCTTGGTGGATCAAACCCCCATGAAGCTGAAGCTTGGTTAAGACAAATTAAGAAGTTGCTAGATACTTCCGACATCCGAAATGGCGTTCAGACGTACGATGCAGAAACTAATCAAATGTTCCAATTGCACGCAGTCTTACTGTGGACAATAAATGATTTTCTTGCATATGCAAATTTGTCTAGATGGAGCAGGAAAGGCGCTTTAGCTTGTTCTTGTTGTAACATACATAATCGATATCGGTGTTTGAAGAATAGAAGGAAAATTTGTTGCATGGGGCATCGCCGCTGGTTGAATGCGAGTCACAAATTTTGAAAAGATGGTGCATCTTTTGATGGAACTTCTGAATTTGAACCATGTCCAACTCAGTTATCAGGGGCTAATGTGTTACAACAGGTAAGGCCTAAGCATCAACCAACTAACAGACGAAAAAGAACTAGAAAAGGAAAGGAAAAAGAGGACAACGAGGAGGATCATATATAGCGATCCCAGTTTTGACCCGACTCTTGTTGCATCCCGGGTTCAGGTTTAATGCTTTCATAATGTTGCTTACCTCTTGCTTCCCTTGTGTCTCCTTGAATTTGGCTTTTGGGTGGTTGTGGTTGTGTTTGGACAAGTTGGTCGCTTGTTTTTCAAACTTTATGTTGTCTAGATTTTTGGTCCTCCGCTCGAGTGACACTTTCTGCGAGCTTTGAGAACTCTCAGTATTTTTGTAGGTCTGCAAAACTACTAGGAAAGTGTTTTTTATGCTCGAGCGGCGTTTTCTACACTCGAGCGACTATTGTTGCGCTCGAGCGTTGGTCTGTCATCTGCAAAATTACTGGATGTGTGTATTCTGCACTCAAGCGTCACTTCTTGCGCTCGAGCAGAATAACTTATTGTATTTGATGCTCGAGCGTTAACTCTTGCGCTCCAGCGGACTGTGCGTATATCAGTTCGTAATAGCCTCATTTTACATCACTTTTTCATCTGTCTCTCTAAAACCCTAGATCTTGAGTTTCTCTCTCTAAAACTCATCTTCTCTCTACTATTTCACCTAGATCCATTGGGTTCTTCACCCTAGTGCCTTTGATAAAAAGGTAGAGCACGTCGTGAACTCTCTTTTCATCCGAACAAAAATGGGTTTCGGTGTCCTTGAAGTTCTCCCTTGCTCTGCTCATCTTCCATCTTTGAGGTAGGGACTTTCTATACTCTTCTATAGGTTTTAACTTAGTTATTTGTTGATGGGTAAGAAATATTGGAACTTGTTGTGATTTTGAACAAACTTAGGGTTTTGGGTTAAAATCAAAAGAAGGATTTTCGAATGAACATATTGGAAATGGTCATGGGAGTAGATATGAGCAGTGATGGCAATATAAACCCGGCCCAACGGGGACCCGGACCGTCCCGCCCCTATAAATAGGGTTTTTCCCGAATATTATTCCCTATAGGACCGGGGCCGGTATTAAAAAATACATCCCCGATGATTTTCGGGCCGGGGACGGGGATAGGTTCTCGGCCCCCGGCCCCGCCCCCGCCCCGCCCTGAAATTTCCCCGAAAGTATCCCCGCCAATATGTTTAGTTTGGTTGTATTTGTATTACACCTATTATGGTTAGTTTATTTGTATTATATAAATAAATATATATCTCTCTCACTCGGTTTAATTGTATTATATAAATAAAATATCTCTCTTTTTGACTCTTACCTTCTCTCTCCCAATCAACTCTCGTTCTTTTGAGTTCTTTTGACTCAGAGAGTCTCTCTCTCTATACTCTCTCACTCTCTCTTTCTCTTTGCAGGCAACTCTCTCTCTCACTCACTCTTCTCTTCACAGTGGCGACGTCTCTCTCTCACTCACTCTTCTCTTCGCAGTGGCGACGGCGTCGTCTCCTCCTCCGCGGTAGTACGCACACCCTCGCTGCCTCCTCCTCCTCCTCCTCCTCATCCTCCTCCTCCGCGCCACCGCCAAGCCTTCATACTCCGGCTTCGGTTTCTGCCATGGCAGATCTGAGCAGATCTGTGTGTTACATGTATGTCTGTGTTATATGTATGTGTCTCTATTAGTCTCAAATTTTTTTTTTTGGTTGCCATTGATGATGTTGTTGATGAAAATGATGTTGGTGATTTATAATTATTATTGAGAAAGAAAGCTAAATACAGAGAGAGAGAGAGAGAGAGAGAGAGAGCTGCGGGGATTTTTCGGGGTCGGGGAAACCCGATCCTCGTTAGGGAGCGGGGGTGGGGGGGTGATGGGTTCCCCACTAGGGATCGGAGACGGGGACGGGGAGTTTTGTAGCTTCGGGGATTAGGGACTGGGAGGGCGATCCCTGGCCCCGCCCCGCCCCGTTGCCATTCCTAGATATGAGCTTGTGTTGTGTTAAAATAGTTGATTTTGGGTGTTGGGATGAGATTGGGAAAAAGAGAGTTTTGTGTATCACCTCACACTATAAAAAATGAAATTGCTATTGGGATTATGAAATTCGATGAATGTCTAAATAAATGGTAGAGTTAGATGTGTATCACCTCACACCTATGGAAATTTGGATAATTTAGCTGTCTTTGAGATTGTATATCTGTTTAGAAATATTTGCTTTGGGTTATCGGTGGAGGATAGCCATGATTGTCTAGCCATTGCATATGGATTAGGCGAATTGAAACTAATCCTTTAGCCATTATCATTGAATAGGATTATGATTTATATACATTATATATGTATAATGTGTAAGAGGAGAAAGGGGATGCACTCCATGTTTTGGGAAAAGAAAGGGGATGGACTCCATTAAATTAAGTTGGCCTGTGTGTCCAGAGTGAGTCTAGAAAACCGTTTGTATGCATGGGTGGCGACTCATGTGGACGAAATTTTCGTAAAATGGCAAATGGAAGTGTTTGTGTGATGACTGGATTGATTTGAGAACCTTTGAGTTGCATCCTCAGTTTGGTTGTTCGTAATGAATGGAGATAACTCATGAATTGTGATATAAAACTTGGCACGGCATGGTTTGCGAAAGAATTGTAAAAGATTTTTCATATGGGCATTGAGCTTGTGCATCATACTTATATCTTTGTTAATACTCATATATTGTGTTAGATTATTTCTACTGGACTTTGGCTCACCCTATTTGGAAAACCATTTTCAGGTGTTGGAGATATGCCTCCGCCAAGAGAGTAGTTTGGGGAGACTTGGAGCAAGAGCTTCTTCTTGGTTGTATTTATTTTGTATAGCCAAGGGCTTAATTGTATTGAGTTAGACTCATTTTGTTGTAACCAAGCAGTGACTTGGAAATATGTAAGCCTTTAAGGCATATGAATATCTGTATAACTTTCAGTTCTTATTCCTACTTGTTATACATGCTACAAATTCAGGATGAACAATTTAGGAATGTGTAATGCATGTGTCATCTTTTGTATATAACTCTAATGAATGTAAGATTACTATTTTGTTTATGTCATTGTGTATATGTTACTGGGAACCAATCTATGACATTTATTTCGGGGTGTGACATCATAATTGGAGGAAGAGGAGTATTTCTTCGAGCTTCCATATTGGGAGCATAATTTAATTCGCCACAATATTGATGTAATGCACATTAAGAAGAACATATGTGATAATGTATTGTGAACGATATTAAATGTTGATGGGAAAGGAAAGGACAATTTAAATGCTCGTCGAGACATGCAAGATATGGGAATTCAGAAGGCATTACATCCTGAAAAAGGGGTTGGAAATAGGTATTATTTGCCACATGCATGTTTTGCTATGAACAATAGAGAGAGAGCTTTGTTTTGTACACTCCTGAAGAATATCAAAGTTTCAGATGGGTATGCATCCAATATTTCTCATTGTGTTAACCTCAAACAACATAGCATATCTGGACTGAAAAGTCATGACAACCATATATTGATGCAACAAATACTTCCAATAGCAGTGAGAAATTTGTTACCAAAGAAAGTTGTTGAACCATTGATTGAGTTAAGCAATTTCTTCAAGCAGTTGTGCTCCAAAACTCTAGAGCCAGCTGGGTTAGATCGTCTTCAATCCCAAATTGCTCGTACACTTTGCCATCTTGAGAGAAATTTTCCTTCATCCTTTTTCAATATAATAGAGCACTTGCCTATTCACCTAGTAAAGGAGGCTAAAGATTGCCACTGCCAGTCTAGTGCAATATCACTGGATGTACTTTATAGAAAGGTGTGCAATTCTACTTCAATTTACATTTGTATTCATTTGTTTGTTTATAATTGAAAGTCATGTGTGCATTTGTTTGTTTATAGGTATCTTATGACACTTAGGTCATATATGCATAATCGAAGTCATCCAGAAGGTTCAATTGCGGAGGGATACTTAGTTGAAGAGTGTATGACCTTTTGCTCAAGGTACTTGGATTATGTTGAGTCAAAATTGAATCGACCAATAAGGAATTATGATGTTAGCGACAATCCTGGGATATTGCTAGGTCATGCTTTAGGAAAAGGAAAAGGGTTTGCGCTTAATAACACATCATAGGTACAAGCTTATCGGTATGTGTTATTTAACACTGCTGCGGTTGTCCCATATCGAGAGTAAGATACACATCTTTGTTCCAATATTTTATTGATACCATTAATAAGTATCTTGCATTTTATAAGTACTTTAAATGTGTAGGGAGCATCATGATTTTATTAAGCGGTCACATCGTCGTCTCAAAGATTTTGATGTGGATCGCCATGACAATGACAAGTTTCCTAGATAGTTTAATTCTCATGTAAGTACTAATAACTTACATGTTTCTAATTTTCAATTCTCATGTTTTCAATTTTTAATTCTTTGTTAATTGATGTTTAATTTTGTTAACTTTTTAAAAATAAGTTTAAGAGCTTCTAGCTATTGAAAATACTGTGTTGTCAGATGAGATTAAAAACTTTGGCATTAGGACCTAGTAAAAAGGCCACGAGATTCAGTGGGTATATAATTAATGGTACTACGTATCATACGAGGAGTCGTGAGTGGGGAAGAAAAACTCAAAATAGTGGGGTTATGGTGAAAGCAAAGACTTGTAGCTATGCAAGTACCAAGGACATGAATCTTGTGGAAGGTGAAGCAGCATACTATGGGTATGTCACAGATATTATTGAATTTTATTACTCATACGACCATACATATGTGTTATTCATGTGTGACTGGATTGACAACAACAAAGGATTGAAGCAAGATGGGTTTGGTTTCACACTTGTTAATTTCATACAAAGAAACAAAATAGTGATGAGTCATTCATCCTAGCATCTCAAGCACAACAAGTCTTCTATGTTAATAATCCCGTTGGAGCTGAATGGGATGTTGTAGTCAAGATGAAACCTAGAGATTTCTATGAGGTGTGTGGAGAACAACCAACTAATGATGGAGTACATCACAATGAAGTGGAAGGACCAAGAGTTAGATGCAACTTCATTTGCTTGTGAAGAGGACATAAATTGGGTTAGGCAACATGAATTTGGAACAAATATTGATGAAACTATTGGACCTCTTGGGATATTGACACAGACACAATCTGAAGATGATGAAGAAATGATATGTATTGTAATATTGTGTCATATTCACTGTTACATTTGTGCTTTCAGTATGGATATTCATGTTAATGAAACCTTTGCTTTTACAATGCGTCATTTGTTTGCTTTGTTAATAAAATCTTTGTTTTTGTATTCACTATTGTATCTATTGTACTTTATATTCATTGTTAACTCATAAAATTCTACACTTATGCTTGTGGTCTTCTATAAACTAGCATGACAGATCGACAATGCTCTAGGCAGAGTTCTTATAGTGGGAGTTCAAATAAGAGTTCTTATAGTGAGAGTTCAAAGGAGAGTACATGCATCATACCTGATCCACCCATGTCATGGTATCCTCCAGGTAGCTTGCCTAGTACATCATCGAGTACTGGTTTAGCACATGACACTACACCCAGTATGAATTATTGTATTCAACTGCATTAATTCTATTAGATTTCTCTATTTATGTTTTTTTTTCTTTTAATGTTTTATCATTCTCTGTAGTATGTTCTAACTTGATATTGATATTGGATGAGTAGGTCGTAGTTTGAGAGGCCCAACACTCATGCATGGTAGTGATTGGAACCCAAGTGGTGGCATTTGCATATTGTGCCTAATGAGTTGAACCATGTGGTTGACGGGTACACACCCTTGCTTCTCATTTGGGTGTTTTAGCTCGAGATGGGAACCTTATGCCCCTTACTTATAGAACTTGGAGCCATGTAACGAAGGAAAATAAAGAGAGAATTTGGAGAGAAGTAAAGGTAAAAGAATTATAGAGCTTGGAGCCATTTTATTATCCTATTCTGTTTGCATAGCTGAATGAATAACTGAGTTTTGATTTGTCTTTGCTTCCCTATGATGTGTTCTTTATATTTGATTGTGAAGATTTTGCATCATTTTCCAGACAAAAAGAAAGCAAAGCAAAGCAAACAAAAACATTATTTAGGTTGATGAATATTATCGTCTGTGTAGCCAATGATGATGGATTGATCTTTTGTCTGAAAATGTACTTGTGGTGGCCATTTCGAGTTAATGGTTTAATTGATGTATGCTTTTAACATTCTGAGATTTGAGTGGAAAAGTATTTTGTTTGTTTTTTCTTTTTGTTTTGTTTTTGTTTTTGTTTTTCTTTTATTTGGAGAACTAATATAGATACGTGGATATAGCAATCTACATTTGCTACATTTATAGACCATTCTCAATTGTGGGTATGCTGCTGTGTGTATGCTGTTGTTGAATACTTAATAGTTAAATTTGCCAATTATTTGCAGGTTAATACAAATGCTGACAAGTTGATGTAGAAGTTTATTTTGGCATTTGTTGGAAAAGAATGGAGAGAGTAGAAGGCTAGAGTTAAAAAAAAATGGGGTATACGCCATTCAACAATGATGTTGATAGGTTAACTCATCGAACCCGAAAGAGTACATGAACATCAATAGCGGAACTTGGTCTATTACTGGGGCACTCAGAAGGCATAGGTAGCAAGGCTGACTGTTAAAAAAATCTCACTTTAATATTTAATTTTAGATCTCAAAAAATTTTAAGCAGCCCTCGTCCAAATAATTTATTACTCAGATCAACCATATTATTAGCTCTCGGGAGTCGGGTTTATTGATCAACAAAAAATCCACAATTAGAAACAGAGGAGGCAATGGTGAGAGAGAGAGAGACAATGAGCTTCAACTTTATCACAGTAGTAGAATTGTGGGTTTTATTGAGTGAGGTGAGATGGGAATTGGGTGTGAACAAGTTAGGTAAAATGATGTACTTTTTTGAAGGTAGATATGAATCAATCATATCGTAGCTTTCTTGTTGAGAGAGACAGAGAGAATCAGGGTGTTGATGATGTTGAAGCAACCAGTGATTGCTTAACAATGGGGAAAACATCCAGATGGGTACGTACCTGATTGAAGTTTTTGTGGGCATCATTGAACATCTTCTCCAAATTTATCATATAAGTACCATATCAATTTATTGATGACAATGATGTTATGGTGAGAGAGTTTTCGAATCTTGTTCATCATGTTTTTGCAAAGAATGCTATTGAATTGATAAATCCAATCCATGTTCCCCCCCCCTTAATTTCTATCAAATGAATGATTTTGATCTCCTAATTCATGAATTTGGGAAAGGATAGAATTTTCTTTTTTTTTTTATGATATAATTTGTACAATTTGTGTTTATCAGTTGAGTGAAATTCTTTGAATTTCTTTCATATATAATGTTGTAGATTCTTAGGCTTAAATTACAATCATTCAATCAGAAGTAGTGGCACACAGATAAGATTGAAGTTGATCTAGGGAGTTGGGAGAGGTAAGATTGAAGTTGAGCCAACAAAAGGAAGATTTTAATTTTTTGAGAGTTTCAATGACCGTCTGTATCGGAGATCAAACGGTCTTACAAGAATCTAGATTTACAGTGGCACACAGATAAGAATTTTTTGACAGTAGAGAAGAAATTGAGGTCAAATTCTGAGAGAAATATATGCTGCATATGAGATTTGGAAAGTGTGAGTTGCAGTGTTCTAGTTAGCATTGGCCTTATAATATATCAGGTACTGCACTTGTCTGAATACTATCACTTTCCTCAGTAATTAATCAGTATGGGAAGCTGGGTTCTATCGTAAATTACTGCACAGTGAATGTTAAGGCAGTCTGATTAATTTAGAGTGGCATCAAATATCTCTTTAGGATTTTCTGAGGCACATAGCTATGAGGAAATTTTAAGGTAATAAGAAGTTGTTCTAATTTTAAGATAATAAGTTGCTGTTCTTATTTTCATTATTGAAATTACAAATTGTAACATCTATTACTTATACATATGTATGACACAATGATCTTGCTGGTTACAGGAAAAACAGGCTTTGTTTGTCCATTGGGCATGTTTTGCAGTGCCATCTGAGTCAAATCATAGTATTCAATGATTGTTGAGAAAGGTAGGTGGCTAAGGAACTTCCCATGCCCTATTGCTGAAGCTATTTCTGTTGTGGTATAATGTATGTTAGTATTGCATTTACATTTGAAAATTTTATGTTCTGAGATTTTGTGGTTTGTTTCTACATGGAAAAAACAACAATTTTATGTTCTGAGATGTTGGTATATCCTTGAGAAGAGGTGGAATATGAAGGGGGGAAAAACAACTATAAAGCATCTTTAGATGAGTTTACATGCCAGGTTCTTGCTGGCATTCTTTTCGGCTTGCATGTTGTAGTATTGGCAACACCACACTAAAACAGACAGGCCTTATTTCGGAAACCAATTTTATTCTTTGTTGTCTTGACATTTCAGGGACAGGCTGGTGCAGAAAGCTATCCTTGGTATGGGTCTGGACCTAGTTCTTGGGGTGCTTATGACATGCAGCGAGCTCATGTACAGAGATAAAGAGTATTATGGTTATCATGCCATGCTGTGGACTGTTATCTTGCTTTTCTATGCTGCTACTTTGGTTGGCAAGTGGTAGATGCTTAAATTTGGTTATGAAATATTGTCTTATGATAGACATTGTGGAAGATATGCTGTCTAGTGGCGGATTTGTTCACTGAATTGTGAATTTATTTGTTGATAGAAACGCTTATGTAATCAAAACTGTGTTGAATTCTTTAGCTTATATTTCCGAATCTTGGCAAACAGGGTCATATGACTGTGTTGAATCTTTCAATGCATATCTTTGGAAATGCTCTGCTTTTGATAAAATATTGATTGTAATTCTTCTCATATTTCAGGAGAGAGAGAGAGGGGAAAAAAAGTGAGGTTTTTTCAAAAAATGCCACTAAATAACGTCATGTTGCTATTACACGTTAGTTTGTGACGGATACAGTAGCGGACGTCAATGATTTTGTGGCGTTTTCAAAAATGTTGTCTAATAGTTTTAGCAATGGTTTTCATACGTTGTAAAGTTATTGTGACAGCCGTATCAATGACTAGAATTTTAAACGTTACTGTAACATTTTACGGCATTTTTTAGATTTTTAATGGCATTATAAAAATGCCGTTAAAACTCAAATTTCCTATAGTGGTATGATACTTATAAAATTAAGTTTTTCATTTCATCATGATCTAAAAGATCCCACCAAGTAATAATTATTCAAAATTTTAAAAAAAATGTTAAATAAGTTTGAAAATTTGTTATGAGTTAATAATTATACAGAACATTTTGAATTTTTATGATGAAAAAAAAAAAGAAAAAGTTGGAAATTTTTATTTCACGATCAAAATCCTGCCACTATAATCCGACAAAATGAAGAAACCATTGAATATAAATTTTTTTCACCAAAAAATAAAAATAAAAATATACTGTACATATAATTTAATGAATTGAACACAAGGATCCTACATAGAAAATGATACTTGCAATAAACACAACACGTGAAACAAAGAGACGCAAATTCCCGGCAACAAAACCAGCACAAAGGACAAAGAAAGTGGTTTACAGTACTCCTTTCATCATCCATAATGATCAATATCAACAGTTTACATAACATGTTGAGAAGGAAGGTAGCTCGCATTATTGCATTTTTTGTTTTGTTTTGTTTTTTTTTTTTAAGCCTTGATTCTGGTAACAAATATTAGTAAGTATTTGGTTTGAAATATGAGTTGTAAGATGTACTGTAAATGTCTGATTAAATATAGTTAGTAGGTGTGAAATCTGGATTGTATGATGTACTCACAACCTTTTATTTACACTACATCACAGACACACTTGCACCACATATGTTTGTAATTTTTTTTCACTTTCTCCTACTTTAATATAGTTCCCCCTAGATTATTCTTACGCTTTTGTAATGGTGTGAATTTTTATTTTATTCTCATAATTTATAAATTAATTATGAAATACTATTTTTTAAATGTCTATTTCCTTTATATGATTATAAAAATTTTCATTTCAAAAATATAATTACAAATATCATGTGCGTTGTGTATACCACCACTAATATATAATAGGGTAAACTACACTTACACTCCTGACATTTGAGTTTGAAACATATCACCCCCTGACATTTGAAAAATTACACTAACCCTCTATCATTGAAATTATTTAGACGGAATAAAAATATTGAACTCAACACTCTCTCTTTTTTTGTTTGCATTACTTCCACTGTTTTTTTATTTTTCTTTCCTTTCCTTTACTTTTTTTTTTAATGTAATTTCTTCCGTTTTTCAATTAAAAGTTGTCGCATTTTATATAAGTAAAGGGTTTGTGAATGAGACTATTAACTACAAGAGCAGAAATATAATTTCCAAAATGTCAAAGGATAAGATATAATTGGATAAAATCTCAAGGGGTGTCAGTATAATTTACCCTATATAATATGTATAGCAGATAAGTCTCAAAAAGTCCTAAAATTTATAATTAATGTGTTATCCTTATAAAACATTCGCCTCGTTTGATTTTCGTAAATTATTTTTTGATTTATTTTTTGAAAAAATAAAAATTAAACTAATTTGATAAGGATAATTATTAAAAAAAATTTAATTTTTGAAAATTATTTTTACTATCTAAAAAATAAATCTATATGAAAATCATGACTATTTTCTTTACTTCTTTTAGCTAATTAAATTTTAATTTTTTTAAAAAAAAAATTCTAAAAATTAAACCCAACAAAGCCACTATCTTGATATTAGATATGGACCACATTGCATCAAAGGTGGCTCAATCAAGAAAGAAAATCTAAAAAAATTCAGATGTTCAACTTCAAGTCTCAAAAAACTTTAGGTCATTAATGAAACTACAATACATGAGATAGTAAATAAATTATACTACATTATGAAAACAACTCAAATATTTAAGAGAATTTGAAATTCAAACCAGATCCAGCAAATGTTTATTCCATGAGCTTGTTCATGCATTCAAGCATGGAAAGAGTAAGATAATTAGCCCAATCTCCCACCTCACCTTTCCTAAAGAACATACTATTCGGACTTCCCCTTATATTTTTTTCATTCTTGTTTACCTCCAAATCTTTCAAGTTGTTAAAACTACACAACTTTAATTCTTCCTCAATCACCCCTTTGCTCTCTTCTTCCACAGAGAAAGGTAAACCCATGAACTTAGCGAACACTTTGTAGTTAGAAATGGGGTCTTCTTTCATATCTTCATATTCCAAAAACAACACCTTGTCTGGTCTCTCTTGGCTTTCCTTCGAGTACCCCAACACATGATCCCAAAACGGCCCATATGCAGTCACACCATGACAAAACATGTCGAAACTTTCTGTAACAACCACAACCTCTGATTAACGTTAATTCATGGTTAAATAAGCCTAATCAGTAATTAAGGTGAAATTCTAAATTAATTGTATGTGTGTGTTTCATTATTGTGCTTATATCTGTTTATCGTAAAAATATATGTTTCCGTTTCTGTTTCGTTTTGCGAATTGAAGGCCCTATCGACATCTGATTATGAAATTGACTTGATTTATGTGTTATTTGAGATTTTTAGAATTTTATAATATGCTTAATTAAACTTCAAATCGGAACGATTAAATTAGAATAATTAGTGTTCAATTGATTAGCTTAATCAATAACTTAATTAAGCCACTAATTAAGCCTATATAAGGCTCATGTGAACTCATTAGTTCACTATACAATCTCTTATCACCCCACTTTAAAGAGAAAAATGTGAGAAAGAGTGAGAGAAGGAAGGAATTTGGAATCAAAGCTAGGAGAGGGGAGAGTTGCTAAGAATTGAAGGCATTGGGCTTGGAAACTCAAGAATTAAGCCTCTAACATACATCTTGGGAAGCCTAGGTAAGAATTCAACCCTTAGATTGTACAATTATGTTGAGTAGGACATGAACCCTAAAGAATTAAGTTGGATGATACAAGAATTGAGTTAGAATTGGAGAAATGAACTCAAACCATGCATGCATGCATATTTCATAACATTTTGAAGTTATTTTCCAAGAATCTACTCATGCATGTTCCTAATTCACCTTAGTTTTGAGAATTCATCAAGTTTCATGTCATTTTGTGTTATTAGATTATGTTTTCGAAGTTTTGAAGTCAAGGCAATGCATGCATGTCATATTCATGTTATGTTTTTACAATTCATGTTTGAGTTTGCTCAATTGACAAGCTTATGAGCCTTAATTTCATGAAAACATCTTTAATTCTCAATGTTTTTCAAGTTTAGACATGTTTTCTTGATTTTTGGCCCAAAGGAACAAGATTTGTGGCCTTGAGTTTGAGTTTTGAAGCTTAAAGGCAAATTTGGAAATCCCAAAATTTGCACCCTCCGCTCGAGCGGCAGAACCTGCGCTCGAGCAACCAAAAGCTGGATCGAGTGTGAAATGCAAGCTCTCAGAAGTTTCATGCTTTTACAGACCGCTCGAGCGACAAGAATTGCGCTCGAGCAAGAAACTGAGTCTCAGGCTCGAGCAACCATCGAGTGGCCGTCGAACGAAGAATTCACAACTTTTTCAGAGTTTGCAGACCGCTCGAGCGAAGGAAGTTGTGCTCGAGCGTCTCCTCACATGTTTGCATGTTCGCTCGAGCGAGGGAAGTTGCGCTCGAGCATGACCCCTGTTTTCAGCAAGTTTTGTTAAGAGTTCCAAGTACATTTTTGGCTACCACATTGCATCCTAGGCATTTCTAAGCCATGATTAAGACATAAGAAGAGGTTAAGACCTAGAAACACACTCCAATGAGATGAAAGAAGTTAAGTACCAATCGAGTGTGTATTTCATTATGTGTTTCTGTTATGTGTATGTAGGTCACGCGCCACAAGTTATATGATTTGTCTGTTCTGCAAGTTGAGCCATCTGTAAGTAATAACTTAGTAAAGTTATGTTCAACTTTAATTATTTTTTGAAAGATATGAATCAAGATCTGTTTTATGCAATGTTATATTCCGTACAATAAATCATTGTCCAAATTTTTGAGATGTATTCGTAGCATCCTTAGCACAAGGCCCTTGCCCGGGGGTAATAATACCGTGGTCTATAAGTACAAGGCCCTTGCGCGGGGGTAACAATACCGTGGTCTTACGGCCCTTGACCGGGGGTAATAATACTGTGGTCTCATGGCCCTTGCCCGGGGGTAATAATACGGTGGTCTCAAGGCCCTTTCCCGGGGGTAATAACACCATGGCTCAAGTATGTTACAAGTTTCCCGATACCGAAGGTTCCCTAATGAAACTAACAAGCATGATAAAGCTAATGGATGTACCATGTATGATCAAGCATGAACTCTGATTTTTGTATGTAGATTGAACAAGAATATGAATATAAATCTGTTTGATATGAACTCTAATTTCTGAATCTATTATGGACATTATTCATTTAAATCCTTTACTCTGTTATTATTCACTGAGTTCCCGCTCACTATTTGTTTTATGTATGTAGGTGAGCAGGTGCGTTGCCAGGCTCAATGTTGATTACCTAGAATTCCGTTTTGTCAGCCACCCTTTGTGCCTCTCAAGGAGGTTCCGAATTAAGTTAAGTCAGAGGGGTCAAGTTTTGTGAACCATGTTTAACTATTTTGTTTTGTGTTTTTGAGACTCTCGTACAACTTCTGTCTATCTATATCTTTTGCTAAGTCCCACCTTTGTTTTATTTGTATTTGTGGGTAACGTAAGACTACTGTATTATGACGTCACATGTATGTGTACATATATAAGTCTTATATTTTTCTGTCACATGTATGTCTACACAACTCTATGGATGTTTTATTTTGTGTAATTGCTTCCGCAAGCCCTTTAATTATCTATTATTTTGTGCAAAGGCCTTTGGTAATCCAAGGATTACTGGTCGGTTACGACGTTAAACCTGTAGAGGTGGGTTTGGGTGGTGACACTTTTCTCTATCAAGCTTGGATCGAAATGTGTATTTGAAAGCTTAGCAGCAAAGTGTCTGAATGAGATGAGCAGGTCTAGAGGGTTTCGACAGAGATAGACAATGCAACAATCAGAGTCTTTAATGGAAGTAGGCAATACATAGTATGGCATATGGGTTCCTAAGACTCTAGGGCTAGGTAAGTCTTCAAGCTTGAGGATTGGGTTCTTGCTGTAGACGTCATCTTCAAGGAAAGGCACAAGGCCGTAAGAATTTGTGGTGAGCAATGGGCTTTCGCGGAGAGGGTAGTTGTTACGGTTTGCTATGGTGAATGCAAGAGCTTTCAACTATGTTGTGCCTGATTTTGAGAAGGTGACTAGTATCAGATCAGTGTCTTGTGCTTTGAAGTGTTGCTGAAATGGAATGATGCCATGGATGAACATGGATGGATACCAAAGCCCTTTATAGAAATAGAGATCAGTACCTCCTGGAAGTTTCTCCATGGGAAGGCTTTTGAGCACTTCTTCCATCTCCTCTTCACCCATTCTCTCTTCATCTCTATAAGTTTAACAAGTTTCTTTTAGTTTCTCCATGATTGAGAGAGAAAGGGAGAGTGAGTGAGTGAGTGTGAAACAGGTACACAAGGACAAGAATTATTTGGAAAAATTTGAGGGATTATTGCATGCATATTTGTAATAGAGGGTTCGTTTGGATTGGGTTGGTTTTTTGGTTATTAAAAAGTCTCGTTTAAGATGGATTTTTTGACTTTTTTGAGAGAGAAAAATAAAATAATTATGATTTGGATATGACATTTTATCTTATTAACCATTTAACTTATTTTATCTTTTCGTGACTAAAATAACCAAAAAAATATCCCAACTCTTTAGGCCAAACGAGTGTAGGATATACACACAAGGCAAGAATAAAACCACGTGAGGCCTCGTTTGTAACGTTGCCTATCTTATCTTTTGTAGTTTTGTAACTTTTATATTAGGATGATTTGTAAAAAAAAATTATAATTTAATTGATAGTTGTGAGAGAAAAAATAATTAATTCATATGTACAATTTAATATTTTATTTTATTTTATTTACTATTTTAGCTCATTTCTTTTTTAAAATCTTTATTGACTATTTCAACTAAAAAAAAGAAGCCATGTAGCGTCTCAACATGAAGACACTACCTGTAAAGTGATATATATGTATGTGTATAGAGCAGTTCTACAAACCCAAACATAAAAAATCAAAAATTAACTAAACTTGAAATCAAGGGACCAAATTTAGTGATGATATGATCCTACACATACAACTTAGATTTTATATTATAAATTTAATATTTCTGATATTTTTTGGATTTAGTTTATATTACATTTTTACTCTTCTATACATCTTTTTATTAAAAAATCAAAAAATATACTTATTTAAATCAATGCATTTAAGAAGGGTATAAGTGTAATTTACCATTTTTCATGTGTATATACATACATACAATTTTCATTGGATACTCTCTGCAATTAATACTAGAAAATTGCTTCGTAGCTTGAAATTTTGGAGGCTCGAGTGGCCCGAATGCCAAAACGACGTTGTTTTAGTCATTTTTTCCTCACTTTTATCTCTGAAATAGAGAGGCGAAAGAAGAAAGAGAAGGGGAACAGAGAGAGAGATATACACAGATCTATGTACAAAGGAGGGTTGTGATGGGCGACGGTGATGGTGATGATGGGCGACTATAATGGTGGCGCTGGTAAGTGGAGGGTTTGCGACGATGATGGCGGCGCCGGTGGGTGGGAGTTCCAGCTCTCTCTCTGGGTTCCCAACTCTTCTCTTTCTGTCTCTCTCTGTGTCTTAGTTCCCCCTCTTCTCTCTCTCTTTGTTCTCCCTTACTCTTCTCTCTTACTCCCTCTTCTCTCATTCTCTCTTCTTCCTCATCTCCTTCTTTTCTCTTTCTTCTTTCCGTTTCGGAGAGAAAACAAATAAAAAAGTCTAGAAGAAAGAAAAAAATAGGGAGAAAAAAAAAGGTGCCAAAATGACATCGTTTTGGTACCTCGAGCCATTCGAGTCACACGTTATTCGAGCTACCTAGCGGGATTGTTAATATTAATAGACGTGGCCCCCTCACTTTCTGATAATTTTCCATTTCAATTCAACTATGCAAAAGACATTGATTGATTGATAGTATTATCTTCTTTTTGGGTAATGTTATGAAAAAATTATTGATTGGTCTAGGGAAGCTACGTAATTATGTTTCTTATCAACCATAATTTATCATATTTTCTCATATTCCTTAATCACTCTACACAAATTTTTGAATCTTGTAAACTCAAAAAAAAAAAAATACTAATTGTCAATTTTTAATGACATGCAAAAAATCATTACAAAAAATTATTTTTAATAACAATTTTACTATGACTTATCTTTAATAGGACTTGATAGAAATTAAATCCAACTATTAAGACCTATTGATAATTTATTCCCAAATTATTCCATCAGTGTGATTTCAAATTTATTAAGGGAGTGCCAATGTAAATTACTATTTTTTATATACGGCATATTTTGAGAAGTAAATTAAAAATTGATTTTCTAACCTTTTTTTAAAAATTAAAAAAAAAAACATACAAAAAAATAAACCATTCATGTAATTAAAAAAGTTAAAAAATTAAAAAAATTAACTTTTCAAAATAGGCTACGTACATACAATTTTCATTAGATACCTTTGACAATTAATATTAGGAAAATATTTTGGATTCTAAATAATTTATTAATTTTTTTTACCAAATTTCTCACATGAGTGTGGGATCCACACAAATCCACGTGTGTGGTCCCATACCCATGTAAAAAGTTTGATAAAAATATTAATAAATTATTTGAAATCCCTAGAATATCTTAAGGGCAATTTGGAAAGATTGACTTTTTAATTTTTTTTTTAATTTTTTAATTTTTATGAGTCATATCACCTCTCTACTTTTTTATATAAAAAAATTAAAAAAATAAAAAAAACTAATTTTTTTACTATCTTTCTAAAACACCACTTATTAATAGACGTGCCCCTCACTTTTTAATAATTTTCCATTTCAATTCAACTGTATAAAAGACATTGATTGATTAAGACTACTACCTTCTTTTTTGGGGTAATGTTATCCAAAACACAACTTAATATTAATAGACGTGCGTGGAATGTTGAGATTTTTTTTTTTTGGTCGTAATCTTCTTTGAATCTCAATTATTATAATTTTTTTTTAATCTCAATCATTAAAATATATGTGAGATTTATTTATGTATGTGTGAGGTTCACATCATCAATGGTTAAGATTCAAAAAAAATTATGAAAGTCCCAAAAAAGGATCTCAATCATGAGAAATTTTTTGGATACCTTTCTTTTCTCTCATTGGTTAAAAGAGTGGGGACTACATTTATGTGTTGGGTGATAGAGAACAACATGAGAGGCTATAGTATTTATGATTGGTTGAAGGCACTATGTGACATGCCACACGATACCCTGTCTCCTGTGTACACCCAAAAAAATTTCCTCAATCATTGTTCTAATAATTTCCCCATTTCAATTCAATTATACAAAAGACATTGATTGATTGATAGGACTATCTTATTTTTGGAAATTTGGGAATATTGCTGTGTGGGGTGCGCTACAGCATCTGTTGTGCAGCGAAATGGGTTCATTTCGAAGCCCATTTTGATAATCCGAACCGTTCACATTTTAGAATACATCAACTAGAACATGGCTGCAAAAAATCAAGTTAATCGGATATTATTTAGCTATTCATCCACTCACATTTGTATTCATTTTAATATTTTAAATTACAATTATTATTTATTTTTGTAGATAGAAATGTGAGTGGATGAATAGGTAAACGATATCCGATTAACTTGATTTTTTACAAACATAATTTACTTGATGTATTCTAAAATGTGAACGGTTCAAATTATCAAAATAAATTCCGAAATGAGTCTATTTCGCCACACAACAGATGCTGCTGCGCACCCCGTGCAGTAGCATCCCAAGTTATCTTTTTGGGTAATGTTATGGGAAAATATTAGTTGGTTCAGTAACGTTACATAACCATATCTCTCCACAATCATAATTTATTTTGCTTTTCATATTCATTAGTAGCTCAACACAAATTTGTGAACCCTATAACTTCAACACTAAATAATAAAAAAAATAAAATAAAAAAATAAATAAATTATTATTAATTGTTAATTTTTAATGACATATATAAAAAAGTTATCACTAAAAATTATTTTTAACGAAAAATTTATTAAGACATATTTTCAATAAAATTTTATAAAAATTAAATTTAATTATTATGACTTATTAATAATTTATCCCTTAATTATTCCATCGGTGTGATTTCAATTCAACTGTACAAAAAAATAAAAACATTGATTGATTGATTGATAGTTCTCTTATTTATTAAGTAATGTTTTGAAAAAATGATTTGCTAGGTCAGAGGAATAACGAGGCCATTTACTTCACTAATCATAATTTATTATAATTTTTTTATGTTTTTTAATCAATCAACACATAAACTTATAAATCACATTTCTTTCACTAATCACAACATTATTGAGCATCACATGAAGATGCTACTAATAACATTTTAAGCAAAAACACTTTTCAGAAACATTTTTTTAGAAATTCTATTTTCTTATTTTTCATTTTTTTTTCTGAGTTTTTTTAATATTTTAAGCAATTTTTAAAATTTTTAGACATACCTAACTTAGATGCATCTAAAAAGTAAAAAAATTATAAAAAAAAACCTTTTAAAAATTCACTAAATACCAAAAATATAAAAAAAAAATACGAAAATTCAATACATTTTATATATTTATTAATTTTTTAAAATATTTTTTTATAAATTTTTTACTTTTTAGATACATCTAAATAAGGTGCATCTAAAAAAATAAAAAAATATATTTAAAATTTAAAAAATATTTACTAAAAATAAAAAAAATTAAAAATTTAATTTTTAAAAAATTTAATTCAAAAAACACAAGCCAAACCTCCACCTCCCTCTCTAAACCCACCCTTTACTAAACCCTCAAATTATCATATGAACCCTAATACCAATTTGGAGAAAAATTCTATTTCCACAATTTTTTTTTTATTTTAATCAGTGTAAATCTTTATTATAAATTTATTATAAAAAAATGATTATAATGGATATCAATACACTCCTTAAATACTAAAATTAAAATTCTCTACATACATCTTTTAAAAATAATAATTCCCAGTGTATATCCTGTTCCAAAAATAAAAAGTTAAAACTGATTTTAAAATTTCTTTTCATTTTGAATTTTGGTAATTTTAAATGCACTCATTAATATATTAATCAATTTATTAATATTAATTATGATATTATTATGAGATATTTTTTTATAAATATTTTTTTACATACTTATATTTTATTTAGTCCACATTATTTTTTTATATTCTAATAAGTTTTATGAGTGATATAATTACCAAAATACTCCTAATAATATTCACATTTACAGTGTAAATGCTCTGTAATGTGAATGTTTACACTGCTA